AGCAGACCCTCCTTGTACTCAGTTGTCATGGCCTAAAAAACCAGTCAGTTCTGAAATTATGAAAAGATTTCAAAGCAAATTTATTGCAAAGACCCATGGAAGAGACCTCGCTAGCAGAAGACATGCTACCTAGAGCCCCTTGGAAACCTGTTTGACTCAGGTGGAAATAACCTACTGGCATTTATTTGTAATTGCCCAGCATGGCAGTGGCTGAGGAAGGAAAAGCTGTTGAGTCACACTGCAAGCCACTTTTCCACTTTTGTCTGGTTTCCCAGAGGGCAGAGTGGGACAAGTTAGAAGGCTGAGATTCTGTTTATGTCTGACACTCATTTCCCATATGACCTTGGCAAGTACTTCTCCTTGTGCCACCATTTCCCCATTTCTTAATAGCTAAAACCACTCAACTCATGGAACAATCATAAGTGCACAGCAAGGAGCATCTCATAAAAGGTAAGAGAAGAGTGAAGTATTATAATTGTTGTCATAGAATACAAAAGCAGTTACGTAATAATGTCAGTATTGCTTCATTTTTGTCCTTACAACACAAACTGTCAGAGGGACACTGTCTGACATGGTATCTGCATCCCAGTGGAGGTACCCAAGCATTTACATCACTGATACAAAACCAGATTGTTGTAATCTGGAAGACTCTACCTCGTTTATTTTGACCAGCCTTTCTCCAGAACATGTTTTTCCTGTATAACCTCATAACCCATAATAATGGCCCAAACTGCACTATAGGAATGATGGCAGGTTTCATGCTCTAGTAAAATCAAAACAATTCCTCATTTGTGCATTGCACAACCAGTCACTCACTAAAACACACATGTTCATCTTCTCTGCAAGCAGAGAACAAGCTGAAAGTCTCTAAATCAGTACATCATACATACAAAGAACACTTTCTAAAATTCTCAATGGCATGAAAGAATTAAATTGGTTAAATTACACTCTGCTTGTATGATGACAAGTTTCCTAAGAAAAAGCATTGATAACTGCTGTTCACAGCTGCTATATAATTAATAACCAAATTTCTCTGTTTCTACGATTTCTTCTAGAAGTTACGATTGTTTGCTTAAAAATGGCCAGATTCATGCAGCATTTGGACTGAAGGCTGAGGAAGGCATGGCTGTAATTACAGCACCTGAAACTGCACCCTAATCACACTCTTATCTTTCTTATCTACTGCAAGTATTTATAAAACAACGATAACTGTACTAGGCCCCATCACTGCTCTGAGTTAGTTCTGAACCAGCACCTTCATAATGCCCTAAGAAGTTTACACTGCTTGAACTGGTGTCATTCTGCTGAGACAGAAAGCCAAGCTTCTCATCACTTAAAGTCATTAAAAAAATAAACTATGACACCTCTAAAGAAGCAGGGGTGTTAACCCAAATGTCCTGGACAAACTCCCAGGACTAATTACAATGTGCCTTGAATAAATTCTTGCCACAGTTTCCGTTGGACTTAGTATTGTTCTCTACTTCCTCTCCTACAATATCATGGAGAGCTGGTGCATACTCTTAAAGGTCCTGTCCATGCTGGAATGTCGTATGGGTCTACTCCAGGACCAGCTCTGCAGCAGCACATTGGGAGCAATGTGTTGAAACCAGTTCTGCCTGTCAGCTGAACCGCTAGGCAATTTGTAATATTTATTTATTGATGTTCTGGCACCTCCTTCAGACAGAATTAACTTTGGGTATAGCTATCTGACAGATAGACTGGTGCAAATCCCAGATGCAGATATATATAAACCTGTTTAGTTCTTTTTTAAGTGGACTAAATTTGCATCAGGAAATTAGCAAATGAAGCTGAACTACTTTCTAGATGCTTACTATAGTCTTATGAGAAGGCAGCAAGAACAGGTATATTGCAATGAACTAAGAAAACTAAATGTGCTATTTAGTTCAGCTAGTGACAACAAACACAATTTTCATACTGGCTGTTCCTTCGGAATTTCGGTGAACTTTTTCCAAACAGTCTGTTCACAGACTATAATGTATATTTTTGAAGCAGTCACTGAATACATATCAAATGCAGATCTAGCATTTCAAGTAAAATTCTTGATAGTTAAGAGTAAAGCATTATTCACGTTTTTCTGCAGCCACTGTTAAGAGACTCTAAGGATTTTTATCTAGACCTCTCATTATCTTTCACATGCATTAACACTAAGAGCTGAGGCCCAGACTCTCTGCTGGCATTTGCTGGGTTAGCTCCATGGACCTTGCTAGCTCTCATAATTCATGAGCTTTACAGGCAATTTGTCTGCAGGAAGAAGTACAAGATCAAGATTCAGAAGAACCTAATTCTCAATTCCACCTTTTGACCCCGTGGGCGGATCACTCTCTCTTACTGCTCCATTTTGTTCTCCCATCTCCAAAAGCAAATGATACGTACTAATTTGACAAAACAGGTACAAAACCAAATTAATATAAATAGGCCACGCTGGGCAGATTAGCATTAAACACCATTCTTCCAACATCTGAAAATACAAATGTTTACCTTTCAGACATGCCCTTAATTTCCCCAGAAGCGTGTCTCCCATATTATTTCAGAAGACAGAAACTGTAGTTTCAGAAAGCGGATGGTTTTATTTTTGTGTCATTATAAAAATGCCTTTTAACTTGTCAAATGATACACTACAAATATCTTTGGCAGATGAATGAAACCAAGTTTCCTGTCATAGCTGCCAACTTCAAGGTTGAGATCATCAGATAAACCTTTAGTTTGCCTCTCCCAATACCCACAACAACATATGTTTGAAGTGATCCACGGTTGTCTCACTTTTCCTATCGGGATTTGAAAAAAGCAAAGTATCAGACCACTTTTGGAAAAGTTCACAAAATTCTAGATGAGGTCCACAGTTGTTACGGCCAACCACATTCCTCAGGTGTCCCCCCATCTCAGGTTAAACAGTCCCCAGTAGCTCTGCCTGTCCAAAGGTAAATGCAAAATTTACCTAAATCGTATCCAGCATCACCTCAACATCTGCAGGATACAAAGCTTTCTTATGATACAAAATATCTGTTAGATTATGTGGAAAATAGGAAGGAAGTTTGTTTCATCAGTTTTATTTCAGCAGTAGCAGTCATACTGGATTTACAGAGTTATAGTATTTCATACTGGGGATATCTCAAAATTGAGTATTTGCATGGTGCTTTATAACAGAGAACACTGTGCCTTCAGTGTAATTCTGAAGTCAAAAGCGGAAGCCATCCCCACAAACACACCTTTGACAAACTTTGTGTCTTATGTAACTGTTTCTATTAATTTATTATCAGGATGTCAGTACAAATTGTTATTTTGATGATTCCTTGCCCCCATACTTCTGAAAGGGAAAGCAACTATAAACACAAGGGAGACTGACCTCAGTGATTTCCTCTGTTCAGACAGGAGCACAATGCGCTCAAACACCATGACAAGGAGAAGTGGACTGTTTAGAATTCCTCCAGCTGTAATCTATAGTAAAAACAAATAAACAAATACGTGACTACAAGATGCGATAATTAATCCCTGCATGAAGCCAACTGTTATCTCTGCTTCTTAGATGGAGATACCAAAGCACACAAAGGCTCAACAACCTACCAAGTTCAACACCGACCACTGAGAGCCAAGAGCACAGTTTAGGAGACCACGTGCTCAGTCCATGAGATTTTTTTTCCCCCTCTTCTGGCCACACCCCAGAAACAACTTGGCCAAGGGCAGGCTAAAATACACCCATTTGGTGAGGGCAGTTGCACTAGAGCAGTCACCTACCACCTCTTGCGATTGTCACCGCCTGTAGCTGAGCTGCTCTTGGCCAGAGAGGCAGCTGCACTTGTCTCCATGTCCTCACCACAGCTAGCCTGCCCTAAACCCACTGTCCTCTGAAAGTTCCCACCGTGCCAGGCCTCTTCCCTACACCTTTTCTCCCTACCTATGTCCAGGCCCCATGTACCCCAACGCTGAGCCCCCCATCTCTCTGTTCCCCCCCACCTTTCCACAGTTTCCTCATTCCCCCTCAGGCGTGCTGCTTCCAACAACCCTGGCCGAGCTCAAATGGCTTCAGCATCTTCCTCCCCTCAGTATCCCTACGTGGGCCTTCCACAAACTCTCTTTCCCAAACTCGCCCCAGCACCCGCAGCTCTCTCCTGTTCGCCCATCCCTCAGCAACCCCTCACCTGTCCCCTAAAACTGCCCCTCCTCACGCAACCCCTCACAGCTGCTTACTCTCTCCTCACACCAACGAGCCCACCCCAAGACCCCCTCACACCGAGGCTTCATCCTCACAGCCAGCTGCCCCCTCCTCACAAGAGCCCACCAAACCAACGACCTCTCCCCACCGACACCCTCACACCAACACCCCCCTCCTCGGCGAGACCCTCGCACCGAGAACCACCCAAGAGCCCTCAGCCCGCCGCCCCCTCCCCACGC